GATACCTAAGCCAGGTAAACACCCAACAAAGAAAGAGAACTACAGGCCAATATCTTTGATGAACATAGATGCTAAACTTCTTCACAAGATCCTAGCAAACTAGATTCAACAGCATATCTCAAAAATCATCCATCATGACCAAGTAGACTTCATCCCTGGGATGCAAGCTGGTTCAACATTCGTTAAACCATAAATATAATTAAATACATCAACAGATGTCAAAACAAAAACCACATGATTATATCATTAGATGCAAAAAAGCTTTTGATAAAATCCAGCACCACTTCTTGATAAAAACCCTCCAACATCTAGGCATACGTGGAACATACCTCAAAATAGTAAAAGCCATCTACAAGAAACCCACAGCCAGCATACTCCTAAATGGACAAAAATTGGAACCATTTCCCCTGAAAACTGGAACAAGACAAGGATGCCCACTCTTACCCCTCCTGTTAATATAGTATTGGAAGTCGTGGCTAGAGCAATCAGAGAAGAGAAGGCAATCAGGGGTATCCAAATAGGAAAAGAGGAAGTCAAGTTATCTCTCCTTGCAGATGACATGATTGTGTACCTTGAAAACCCAAGAGAATCTGTCAAAAACCTCCTTACACTGATAAAGGACTTTGGCAAAGTCTCAGGATATAAAATAAATGTACAAAAGACAATCGCATTTCTTTACACCAATAATAAACAAACAGAAACCCAAATAAAAAGCACAATACCATTCACAATAGCCACAAAAAAATGAAATACCTTGACATCTTCGTAACCAGAGATGTGAAAGACTTTTACAATGAAAACTACAAAACACTGCTCAAAGATATCAACGATGACACAAACAAGTAGAAAAATATCCCATGCTCATGGATTGGAAGAATCAACATTGTGAAGATGTCCATCCTACCTAAGGCAATCTACAGATTTAATGCAATACCCATCAAATTACCAGCAACATTTTCTCAGACCTAGAAAAAACAAGACAGTAATTCATATGGAAACACAAATGACCAAGAATAGCCAGAATAATCCGCAGCAAAAAAACCAGAGCAGGCAGTATCACATTACCAGACTTCAAACTTTACTATAAAGCTACAATCATCAAAACAGCTTGATATTGGTGCAAAAGCAGGCATACAGACCAATGGAATAGAATTGAGATTCCAGAAGCAAAACCTCAATTTCTC